AAATTAAACAGGGATATAATCTATTTAAAGGGGGGTTTACATTTTTTTTAGTCTTGTTGGTTTTTTTTTTTTTTTTTTTTTTTTTTTTTTTTTTTTTTTTTTTTTTTCGTATTTTTTTTTTTTTGTTTTTTATCGAGGAATAAGAAACCATGCATTGTGTTTAATATACGTGCATTCCTTCGAATTTTAGCATGGTTACTACAATTAATCTTATATATAAAAAAAAGCTTATTCCTCGTAATATTCGACCACCTATAAAAATTATCATTTCTCTAAATATTCGACCACCTAATGGCCATTAAAATTTTCAAGTATTTAATCTTTTTAGCATTCTACTATGGCATTACGAACATTTTATATGCTACAGACGCACTGAATGTTAATATTTTAAAAGTCTACAGTCTAACTGGTGTTCTTGTTAGAAACAAGATATATTACCACGGAGGTCTACAAAGTGCTGAGACTAATGATTTTATCCCAAATATTTTACATTCTTCGGATATAATAAAATTATCTAAAATTTTCACCGACTCCGATTTTTTTTCATTTCCATATCATAACGCATTTCATATAAGAAGTAATAAAATATATTTTTTCGGTGGTCAACGGACTGATGATAATGAATCAATTTTTGGAAGATATGACATTAAAAATCGTAATTGGAAAGTCTTTAAAAATTCAACTGAAAGTCCATTTAATTTAGAGGATCATTCATGCGTGATGGCAAATAACGGCTTATTCGTGATTTTTGGTGGAAAAATTCTTGTATCAGGCGCTAGTGTCTACTCAAAAGATATTTATATCGCAAACACTAATTCTGAACATTGGGGCAATAACTGGATTAACCCGATTTTTACTTACGGGCCAGGACCAAGAGCATGTATGCAATATATTTTATCTTAACATATACTCTTATTAATCTATATTAACATAATTTTACTACAGTCCATTCAGCGACAATTCTTCCGGATGGTAGAATGGTTGTGTTGGGTGGACGAACAAACGATTCGATGTTCGCCCCGATGTCGGAAATTTGGGTATATAATATCGATATGAATGAATGGCAAAATATTGTGAGTTTTTTCTATGTTAATTCTTATATATCATGTTTTTCTACTAATTCATTATTTTAAATTTAAGGTGGCAAATGGGGATATTCCAAGTCCAAGAAGTGGACATTCCACAATATTAACATCGGACAATAAAATTATTATATATGGTGGTACATCCGATGTTAATTTGTCACAACCATTGGCAGTACTCGATACTTCGGTTTGGATGTGGTCGCAGAAAAAAATTATTAGTTCAATTGAGAGGTATGCAACTCTGAAGTTGTTAGCATTTTTATTTCATCGTATTTATTAATATATACCAATACAAAATTTTTCAGATATTGCTACACAACTAATACAGTCTGTAAACAATTAATAATCACTTTTGGTAAGTTTTTATGTACCGCATGTATCGGTATTTACAATATGTAATTAAACTTTTGATAATTATTAGGGAATGAACCAAAGATTGATCCACTTAACGACATTACCATTCTTAATATAACGATTTGGGCAATTAATACCACTTCTAAATCAGAAATATTGTCTATTAATGAGGAAATGTCACCATCAAGTGATCAAAAAGTTTTTGCTAAAAGATCTATTTACAATAATAATAATGAAGGAACCATGATTATTGTTATCATTGTCGGGATAACTGTTATTTTTGCTGGTACCTTTGCCTACCTTTTATATCTTTGGCTTAATAAAAGAAGAAAACGCAGACAAAAACGAAACGTCCAATCGAAAAGACATACAGCAGCAGACGACATCGCAATGCTATTAGGATTTTTTGGAAAATCTTTAGAACCAAGCACCGCTCCAGGATTAGAATTAGATTCAATAATAGTTCCTGAATCTAATTATTCACAATCTATTAACGATTCAGGAACTGGAACCCCATTGTCATCAAAATCACCACTGTCTTTATTATCCGCAAATCAAGTTGACCATTCGTCAATATCTCATTTAACTCGTAAGCCAACAATACCGCACAAGCCACTATCAATTCCTCAACCTATAATGGAAATACCTTCACGATCAGCATCTTCACTATCACATCCTGTTTCACGGACACCAACGCCATCTACATCATCAGATTCATCTCGAAAACAGTCACGATTAATAATAGACGATGGTCTCTTAGTAAGACCACGTCAAGTTTATAAAATCAATTCAAGAACGCTCAGACGTGAGTTGAAGTGAATGCAGGCAGATCAAAGACTTTTAAAAAATTCATTCTTTGACAAATTAGAAGGTGTTTTTTATAGGATGTCTATCTTTTTATATGAAGTCTATTTTTTATAGTATGTCTATCTTATAATGACATGATTAGGTGATTTTTTCATCTCTATTTTTAAACTTACAAATATAGCTTTAGACATTCTTTTCTTTTTCAAACATCTTAAAATGAAAACTTCTTTCAGAAATTCCTGCACAAGATTTATTTAATGAATCCTGTAACTCACGTAATTGAATTCACTGAAATTTATAGTTTTATTAATTACTTCTTTATAATCTATGTTGGTTAGGTTGGTGAATTGTTTTTTTTTTTTTTTTGTATTTGTTTTATTGTATTTTATATAAGATTATAAAAGAATGTAATTTTCAATGAAGTAAAAATAAAATTTATCTTAGTAATAACTCAATGAGAGTTTTTTTTCTCAATTCCAGTAAGTTTGTTCCAGGTATTATAAAATTATTTCATATATTGGCTAGAAATCAGGAATCAGTTCAAGTCACTTGATTTAGGGCGTTTTCAAGTACCTAACTCAATGAACTCAATAAAAAATCTGATTGGCTAGTTTGATCGAATAGACCAATCATACCTCTTTTATTCAAAAATTGTTCCTGGAAAATGTACGATGCTTTCGAAAAATTCTTTGTACAGTCGAACCTCCCTATAGTCACCTCCTATATAAGCACATTTTCTATATAACCACATTTATTTAAAAACAAACTATTATTAAATATAATAAATTTAAACTCTATAATTGTCACACTTCTTTACAATCACGTTTTTATGTATCCCAAGTGTGTGATTATAGAGAGGTTTGACTGTATTCATTAATTTTATGCAAAACTTTCAGTATATTTTAGGAACTTTATTATAATATAATTTATAGTTATATAAAATGTATTTAGTATTTATTTAGATTAAATTCTTCAAAATTTAATGAACAAAAAATAACAGGACATCAAGTATTGCAAAGAATTGTAGAGATCTATATAGCAAAGATGGCCTCTGCAATAATAGCACAAATTAGAATATGAAATCAAAGAATATATCAGATATATATGCGTATATCTGTATGTAAAAATTCATATTCCAAAAATTAGTCGATTTTGATCACATCTCAAAATCGAATTTCACTTCGATGCAACTCAATTTCAAATTCACGTTTACATATAGCATATATATCAGATATATTTTAAGATATACATATCTGTAAAAACATAAAATGGAATAACTTGAACAAAACCTTTGGAGAGCAAATGCAGTCTGGAAATTCATCTAATTACCATTCTACCATTTCACATAGAGCTTGGATCCAGTAAATAATAACTATCCATTTAGTCTATTTTTCAGATAGTTGTGAATTTCAAATATTCACTTGTAAATTATTTGACTAAATCTATTAAATTAATCAAAAATATAGTCAATTCTAGATATAATGAACTTATGAACTTATTATAACAAACAAGTTAAATAGAAAAATTTTTACTATAGGAATTATTTATAAAAAAGCTAGCTGCAATCAGAATATGTATTTTATTAATATTATCAATGTATATAGTGGTAACAATATTATTATTCGAGCAACTCAGAGAAATTTTGCTTGAGGTTTTGCTAAATAAATAATCTTTGCTATCCATTATTGTGATTATGAATAATTAATATAAAAAAAATCTTTGCATACAAGATAAAATACACATTTATAAGAAAAAATTCTCTAAACAATGTTATGTATAAAGTACATATCAATATTAATGCATTATTATTATTACCGGTATCAGATAGTTTAATAGATATTTAAGAAAAAATTCTCATTATTATTAATCGAAGTGCCAGATAGTTTAATAGATATTCAACTATATTTTCATTATCCGATAGTAGAGTGTCCAGCTATTTCTAGCATCTAAAATAGCAATGATATTAAGACAACCACATAACAAATTTAACTAATTTTAATTCGATCATAAAATAAAATAAGAAAAATTTTATTGAATTTTAATTTTGCTGTTTTTGTAATATCACTAGTGCTATTTTAGATGTTAGAAATAGCTAGATACTCTGTCTGATACAAACGGATATCTATTAGAAAATTTAATAGTTTTTTTAATGGATACAAGCACTAGTTTTACTATTTTACCATTTTACCATTTTACCATTTCACCATTCCACTATTTTACCATTTCACCATTTCACTATTTCACCATTTCACCATTTTACCATTCCACCATTCCACTATTCTACCATTTCACCATTCTACCATTTCACTAATTACACCAATTACACCAATTCACCAATTATACCAGTTATACCATTACTGATTGGTAATTGGTGAAATGGTGAAATTATTTCACCACTCCAATTTAATTTCACCAGCATCACTAGGGCTGACAGTATTTTGAAATATATTTCATAATTTTTCATAATTTATTTTATAATATTCTGTAATTTATTTCAAAATATTGCATCTAGACTATAAATATTGTGCAATATTTTGGGGTATAATAATTTACATAAGTTTATATTTATATATTTTGCTGATATAAAGCTTATTTGTAATGAGAATAAGTATAATAGTTGTTAATAAGTATCTGCTATAACATGACCTATTTGTAGTAATTTCATCTAGTATTCAAATATACAAGAGCTACTTTTCTAAATAATCTCTTTTATAATCATATCATAATTGTCATTGGCAAGAAATAGTATCCAGTAAAATTGTTCTTTGTTAATTAATTCTTTTAGCAATTTTTTTCTTATCTCTGACTATTTATTTTTATTTCTTTTTAAACACACAGCTACTGCTCTATATCTACAATTTCTATTACTATCTATATTAATTACTTCCTTTATATATTCATGTATATAAATAGAAATCTGATTATAAAATAAAGGTTGTTGTGATAATTGTAGATCTTTCACAAGTTCTGTCTTTATTTTTTTTATATTTTTTTCTTTTATATATATTTTTTTTTTATATTTTTTTTCTTTTTTGTAGCAACTTTGTCTTGATGCTTACTGAGAAGAAGATCTTTTTTAGTAAACATTGGATGCTTATTAGATACAGTATGCAACAGCATCTTTGGAACTGGAATTTTTTAGTAGCTAGTTTTTCAATCTTATACAACAATATAGCTTTCAACTTACTATTATTTAGGTTTTTATATTTTTCTTCAAGTTTATATAAAACCTTAGTGATAGTAAAGTTAGTTAATAATAATGACAATAATAAAAGTATTAAATCATACTTTAAATACTAGCAAGAATGATCATGATTAAGTAGAATAGACCTAGTTAGTGAAATTATATAATGGCAAGGTCATTTATAATTCAATCTTAAGTTACAATTACAAGAACTATTGTCTAAATTTTTATTTTCTTCAATCTCATATACTTTCTTTTTAATTTTATCAATTGCCTATTTGAAAATTTTTTAATTAATAATTCAAATCTCTGAACATTACATATAAATAGATTAGTGAAGACAATATTCAAACCAAGGCCCTAGTTGTTTGTAGTTAATGCTAGCAGAAGGCACAGTCAATATATAAAAATACTTGTTCCAAACTGCTTGCTGCTTTTATTGCTTTTTTTAAAGTATTATAACTTCTTTTTTCTTGCTGTGTTAATTAGATTCCCATGTGCAGATAATTTTTTGTAAAAACATGCATCCAATATTCTATATCTTTTTTTTATACTTCAATATAATTTTAAATATATTTAGAATTTCTGCTTTTTATTGCTACTTTATTAACCTTATTAAATGCCTTTTCTACTTTATTCATTTTTTTAGTATAAGTTACTTTTTGGATCAACAATAAAGGTTTATTATAGTTTTTATCAAAATCAAAGAGTTTTCTATATGTAGTTTATAAATTTTGTAAGAGCATATGCCAAATGTATAACATTTTTTTTGCTTTTGAAAAAATCTTGTTTGTTGCTTTTTGAAGTGCAAGAGTACAAATACTTTTGGAAAACAAAAAAAAATATTATAAATTGTTTCTTTTTTTTTTTTTTTTTTAATATTAAAGTGACTACTTAGGCCCCCGGCACTTGGCTTTATTTAGATAAATACGATATTACATCAATTTTCACGAGGATACAACTAGTCACATGTATACTTTTGGTACCTAATTTAAGTAGTCCGTCTGGGTTCTACACTAGCCGCCATACCTGCAACCTAACTAGGAGATTACCTATTTAAGCTCTCTGATTATTAACTAATGAGAGTACAACTAGCCATACATGCAACTTTTGGTTGCCTATTTAAGTAGTCTGCTCTAGGTTTCACACTAGCTGCCATACCTGTATCCCAACTATGGGGATACCCTTTTAAACCCTCTAGTCACAACTGCTATCCTTTCTTAAATTAACCAAGATGTAACTTACTATTCATATGTAGATTTTGCAATATCTGTAGATTTCACACCTACCTTAGGACTTACTAACCATTTCTGGCTATTCTATTCATGAGGTAAACCTAACAGAGTAGTCTATATCCCATACATGTTTATACCTGCATGTTCGGTAATTTCCTTCTAACTAGTACCTATTATGCTACCGTCACCAGGTTCGTATCTCAAGCTATTCTTTAGGATATTGCTATAATCCAATTTGTATCTCAAGCTACAACCTTTCTAATTAGTTTTCCATTATATACTCCTTACCTTTGTAAGGTTCGCACAACCCCAGTACCCACATTTAGACTTTTTTTCTTCTTTGGATTCTTTACTAGTCTCTCTCTTACTTCTAGCCAGCAACCCAGAAGGGTCAATCTGCCTAGGCTTTAGGTGCCTTACGGTCTCTTTTCTCTTGGTACATGCTTCTAGAGCACATGTCCTTTTCCTTCAGTTGGCACCTGGCAGTTCGGCTGGTATTTCTCTTTACTTAAGAACCTGGTTGCTTGGTTCTCTGGTTTTGGTTTTTAATTCCAAATTTGGTCTTCCTGTAGCACTATCAAAGATCATACTAT